CTTCCGGCTGCCTCAGGAACACAGGTTGTTTGAGCAACTGCAGGAGACGGTCACAAAAGGTGAGCTCTCAGGAAAGGCCTTGGGCAGAGTTGGGCCTGTTGTTGCAGTGAACAACTTCTCCCTTCTCCACTACAGGCTTTGTCCACCCAGACCCACTCTGGATCCCATTCAAAGAGGTGGCAGTGACCCTCATTTACCAGCTGGCAGAGGGCCCCGAAGTGATCTGTGCCCAGATATTGCAAAGCTGTGCAAAACAGGCCCTGGAGAAGCTAGAAGAGAAAAGAACCAGTCAGGAGGACCCAAGTAAGTGGGCAGGGGCTGACCTACCATGGCAGCCAGCTTCTGTTTTCCTACAGGGCTGGGAGCCACTGCCACCACCACTTCCTACAACAGCCCTTGTTTGTCCAAGTTGAAGTTGGGCCAGTTCCCACCCTCATCTCTTACTACTTCACTGGTTTGAATAGCATGTGAGCAACAGGAAGATCAGTAAAAACCAAATTCAGGCTTGATGGAACTTAAGGATGTCTCTTTGCCCTGCCTTCCCTCTCCCTCTCCTCCAGAGGAGTCCTCCGCAATGCTCCCCACTTTCATGTTGATGAACCTGTTGTCCCTGGCTGGGGATGTGGCTCTGCAGCAGCTGGTCCACTTGGAGCAGGCAGTGAGTGGAGAGCTTTGTCGACGCCGAGTTCTCCGGGAAGAACAGGAGCACAAGACCAAGGATCCCAAGGAGAAGGTGTGTGACTGTCCTAAGCGCTTTCCAGATTTGTTTCATTACCTCAGCTCAGAACTGAGCTGATCGGTTCTGGCAATCTGCTCCTCTGCTATTACATGAAGCGAAGAATTTCTGCCTCTCTGTGGCTACTACCCCAGGAAAGATTCGTGTGAACACGATGAAACTATCAGTGATCATCCAGGAAGGAAAGATTTAGGTAAACGCAGAGTGTGGAGTTAGAGACCTCAGCATAAAATAGAGGCTTTTGTCAGGCAGGGTTTGTTAGAACATGCACACACCCGCCCGCCTTTTCCACCAGCTTTCATTACCGGCCTGGCCCCAGTGGGGCCTTGTGTTCTCTCCACTAGAGGCAGTGATGTCTTACAGACAAATGAGATACAGAGCCCTGCAGCACTGGAGGAAACTGTGCTGTGTGGCTTTGAAGCATTGTCTGACATGGTCCATCTGTTTACCCTACATAGGAAGTTACGTCTTCCATGAGGAAGAGGTGTAGAAACACGCTTTGGCAGCTTAAAAACAGGGACCTCATTGTTTCCCTATTTAATTAAGGAATCCTTTCTCTTTACAGACACATTTGGTAATTCCCTAAATGCTTTTGAAGAATTTGCCTTTCTTCACATTGTTCATACAAAATAAAGTATGGGCTGGAATCAGAAATGTCTCTATTTATCCATGGTCCCCGGCTTGATTCCTTTTAGAATACAAGCTCTGATACCACCATGGAGGAGGAGCTGGGGCTGGTTGGGGCAACAGCAGATGACACGGAGGCAGAACTGATCCGAGGCATCTGTGAGATGGAACTGTTGGATGGTAAGAAAAATTGCTGCACTCAGCAGTTTCTCCCCAACTGAGATAACCTGTCCCAAACCTGCAGTTACTCTTCCAACAGGCAAACAGACCCTGGCTGCCTTTGTTCCACTCTTACTTAAAGTCTGCAACAACCCAGGCCTATACAGCAACCCCGACCTCTCTGCAGCTGCTTCACTTGCCCTTGGCAAGTTCTGCATGATCAGGTAGGCCCTGGGGTTGCTGTCACCTTCTCAAGAAAGATGGGGATGAACTTCCCTGATGATCCTCTTCTTGCCCCTAGTGCCACTTTCTGCGACTCCCAGCTTCGTCTTCTGTTCACCATGCTAGAAAAGTCTCCACTTCCCATTGTCCGGTCTAACCTCATGGTTGCCACTGGGGATCTGGCCATCCGCTTTCCCAATCTGGTGGACCCCTGGACTCCTCATCTATATGCTCGGTAAGAGATCCCTCACAACATGGTAGCTGTTCCCCAGAGCTCCAGAGTCAGTGTGAGAATCACCAAGACTCTTCCCCTAGGCTTTGGCATCACCTGGAACATCTGCTTGACACTTAACCTATACAGGCCCCTGGCTAAGAGTCACCCCAGTGGGACTGACATTTCTGGTTAAAAGCTTCACCTCTTTCCCTCACTCCGGCTTTCAACTCTAGACAGCTTTCTGACTGCTTCCGGAGTGGCGTAGCATGGGGTAATTGATTCCTGCTGAGGGCTTTTTCTGCCAGTGTTAAGGTGTAGTCCAGAGGTCTTGGTCCCCACAGCCTGCAATTCCATTCCTAGCCTCCGGGACCCTGCTCAGCAAGTGCGGAAAACAGCGGGGCTGGTGATGACCCACCTGATCCTCAAGGACATGGTGAAGGTGAAGGGGCAGGTGAGCGAGATGGCGGTGCTGCTCATCGACCCCGGGCCTCAGATTGCTGCCCTGGCCAAGAACTTCTTCAACGAGCTCTCCCACAAGGTGAGAGGCAGAGAGGCAGAGAGGCACTGAGGGCTTGCTGCAGAGGGAATATGTAGGTCACCTTGTCTCTTTAATTAACATGGCTCTGTCTGTCTTACAGGGCAACGCAATCTATAATCTCCTTCCAGATATCATCAGCCGCCTGTCAGACCCCGAGCTGGGGGTGGATGAAGAGCCTTTCCACACCATCATGAAGTATTGTTCCCCGGGCGCTTGGGGCACATTTTCCACATAGCAGGGGCTTAGGAAGCAGACACACCTGTATTTGAATTCCACCTTGGCTACTTTTTAGCTGTACAGCCTTTGCAATAACTTAGCCTCTCTGTGCCTATTTCCACTTCTTTTGAGGCTGATGATACTTAACAGTTAGTTCTTGAAAATATTAAATAAGATAAAGTCCACATGGTGGTAGGCATACAATAGCACTCACTACATAGCAGCTGTTCCTATTAATTTCCATTCACAGTGAAAATTCCTGAGGTGGGGGGTCCTTCTCTGCTTAATGGGACAGGACAAGGGGAGTGGTGAGGCAGGCAGGGGCCATGGCAGAGAACGTCAGAGAAGACAGACTGGTGCTGAGGAGGGTCCGGAGTTGGTCTTAGTGGATAGGAGAGCTGACCTTGGGCCATCACACATCCTCATCTCCCCTTCCTGCAGGCAGCTCCTCTCCTACATAACCAAGGACAAGCAGACAGAGAGCCTGGTGGAAAAGCTCTGTCAGCGATTCCGCACAGCCCGGTATGCTGCCCTCCCCGAGACTCCTTTGTGCTGAGAGAAGCCTGTCCCCACCCCGTCGGTCTGCCCCCTGCTCTCCCCATGGTATCCCTGGGACTGGGGAGGCTGAGGGGGCAGGTTGAGCCTTTGCTAGCTGCATCTCACAGTTCCTCATAAAGCCCTTCCTATCTGCAGAACTGAGCGGCAGCAGCGGGACCTGGCCTACTGTGTGTCACAGCTGCCCCTCACAGAGCGAGGCCTCCGCAAGATGCTTGACAATTTTGACTGCTTTGGAGACAAACTGTCAGATGAGTCCATCTTCAGTGCTTTCTTGTCAGTTGTGGGCAGGCTGCGACGTGGGGCCAAGCCTGACGGCAAGGTGAGCAGCCCGGACACTTCAGCGCCTGTTGGGTCCCCACGTCTGCTGACCCTGGGCACCGTCCTGGCTCTTGGAGTCGCGCTCGCATCCTACTTATCCCCAGCTTGGTTGCAACCAAATTGCCAGAGTGACCCAAGACCAGATCTTTCTGTCTCTGATTCTTTTTTTTTTTTTTTTCTGAGATAGAGTCTTGCTCTGTCGCCAGGCACCAGGCTGGAGTGCAGTGGCATGATCTCAGCTCATTGCAACCTCCACCTCCAGGGTTCAAGCAATTCTCCTGCCTCAGCCTCCCGAGTAGCTGGGACTACAGGCACGCGCCACCATGCTCAATTTTATATTTTATATTATATAAAAATATAATTTTTATATTTTAGTAGAGATGGGGTTTCACTATTTTGGCCAGGATGGTCTCGATCTCTTGATCTTGTGATCCACCCACCTCCGCCTTCTGAAGTGCTGGGATTACAGGCGTGAACCACTGTGCCCAGCCCAATTCTTTTTTTTAAATTCCAAAAACACAACCAAAGCAGCATCTCATCCAATTCTTCTTTGTTTTTAATAGATTTTCTTTCTTTTTCAGAGCAGTTTTAGGTTCAAAGCAAAATTGAGCAGAAAGTACAGGGGGTTCCCATCTACTCCTTGATCCTACACCTCACAGCCTTCCCCACCTTCGGTATCCTGCACGAGGATGGTCCATGTGTTACAGTTGAACCTACATGGACACATCATCTCCCCCAAAGTCATGGTTTACACTGGGGTTCACCACATGAAATGACATGCATCCACCATTGCAGTACCATACAGAAGAGTTGCACTGCCCTAAAAATCCCGTGCTCCACCTGTGTATCTCTCTCTCCCCACAACCCCTGGAAACCACTGATTTTTTACTGCTACCATTGCTTTGTCTTTTCCAGACTGTATCATTGGAAAGAGACAGTATGGAGCCTTGTCAGCCTGGCTTCCTTTACTTAGCAATGTGCATTCAAGGCCCTCCATGTCTTTCATGGCCTTGTTTCTTTTTAATCATAGAAGTAACTGTGGCCAGGCACAGTGACTCACGCCTGTAATCCCAGCACTTTGGGAGGCCGAGGCAGGTGAATTATGGGGTCAGGAGTTCAAATCCAGCCTGGCCAACATGGTGAAACCCCGTCTCTACTAAAAACACAAAAAATTAGCTGGGGATAGTGGTGGGTGCCTGTGATCCCTGCTACTCAGGAGGCTGAGGCAGGAGAATCACTTGAACCCGGGAGGCAGAGGTTGTACTCAGCCGAGATCGTGCCACTGCACTCCAGCCTGGGCAACAGAGTGAGACTGTCTCAAAAAAAAAAAAAAAAGAGTAGTAACTGTTTTCAGGCCTGCTCTTAATCTCCTCTTCTCCCTCCAGGCCATAATAGATGAATTTGAGCAGAAGCTTAGGGCCTGTCATACCAGAGGTTTGGATGGAATTGAGGAGCTTGAGATTAGCCAAACAGGTAGCCAGAGAGCCCCGTCAGCCAAGAAATCATCCACTGGTACGTAAGGCAGCCTGTGCTGGCAAGACCAGACCGCGCCCTTCCCTCCTGCAGCATTCATTTCTAAATTTCTTTTGAAAATCATATCTTTCTACCTTTTCTAGTTTCTAGGCACCAGCCTCTGCCTTCTGCAGCCTCAGACGGTGACTTTGCCACACCAGAGCCCCGCCGTACCACCCGTCGCCATCCAAACACCCAGCAGCGAGCTTCTAAAAAGAAACCCAAAATTGTCTTCTCAAGTGATGAGTCCAGTGAGGAAGGTATGATGCCCCCGCACGTCCGCCGCCCCGAAGGCACACAGCTAGGGTGTGGAGAGCTGGTTTCCATAGGACCTGCTGTGGGGGCCGCTTGTAGATGCTCTGCCCCACGCCCCATAAGGGCCTCCCCTGTACAGCTTGGATTTTATTTCTGCAGTGGGGCGTACAATTGTTCTCTGAAATCTATTTTTCACCATCTTTGTGACTCAGCTTTTTCTTATTCCTCTAATTCTTTGCATAGATCTTTCAGCAGAGATGACAGAAGAGGAGACACCCAAGAAAACAACCCCCATACTCAGAGCATCGGCTCGCAGGCTCATATCCTAGAAGTGGCCTTGCCCATTCCTGACCTCCCTGTGCAGGGTATCTTGTACGGTGACCTGGAATTCTAATTCTGTGCCCCTTGTAAAATACTTGTCCGTCTCCTTTTAAAAAAAAATATATACAGTCTTTAAAATGCAAGGCCTTTCTCTTAAATTAGCCTAACTGAACTGTGCTGAGCTGCTTTCCCTTTGGAATGTATGTTTGCCAATCTCCTTGTTTTCTAATGAATAAATGCTTTTATATAATTTTAGACATTTTTTTCTAAGCTTATCTTTATTTCATATTTCACATTAGCCCAGATTTCATGCAGCAGGGAGTGTTAGCAGTCCGGAGAGAGATGAGTGAGCCCGGAGTCCTAGGGCCTGTCCCGGGATCGCAGATGAGTTTCCTAGCCGTCACTGCCACCTTTCCTTTCTCAGTTCCATCTCCAAATGTTGGCAGCAGACGGGGCCAGGCTGGTGGAAGGTCAGATCATGATCCCCTCCAGCTGTGCAGGAGACATGGTCTTGTTTCCTGGCACTCCTAACTTCCCAGGTCTGCAGGGGACGAGGGCTATGCTGCAGGGCAGGCTGCCCCCTGAAGCCTACCCACCCCTTTCCAGCGCCCCAAGTCTTCTCTGCTGAGTCACCTAGAATGGGAGGCTGTGAGCAGGCTGTCGTGACCACACTGGTGCCTGGTGCCTCTGCTGTCATGACAACAGCATGCTACGTCAGTAGTGCTCCTTGGGCACTGAGCTCCCTCTTTTGCGGGGAGGAGAGGACAGTAATGAAAAATGACAAGCATGAGGCAAAGGGGAAGATGGCGCCTCGGAATCATGCTTGGGTGGCGCAGGGGCATGGAGGTGGTCTTAAGGCTCTTGATAGGAAAGGGTTAATGGTCCTGGTTGCAGGAATAGCTGAGTCAGAGGTTCAGAGATGGGGCTTCTTCCACTCCTCCATCCCACCCCTTCCACCACCAGGGACCCTCTTGCCTTGCTCTTGCTAGTCTGCTCTGGGTGATCATCGTGAAAAGCCCACACCAACCATGCCAGTGGCAGCCAGACAAGGACAGCCTGGCTCTGGGTCCTAAGGAGGGAAGGCAATCCCAGAAAGGCAGGGACAGGGACTGGAGTCTTGTGCGTGCCTTTTAAGCAAAGATTATCACCAGGCCGGCTAAACTTAGCAACCAGCTTTTAGCTAGAAGGGCAGGGGGCTGGTGTCAGGTTACGCTGGGCCAGCAAAAAGGCCCGGATCCCCCCTCCCAGGCACCTGCTGATGGGCTAAGGCCACCCCACCCCCTTCAAATCCTTCCAAGTGTTCTGCACCCTTCCATCGAACACTCACAAACCTGGCCCTCTACCCTCCTAGGAGGGGAATGGATCCCCGGTGTGAAGGGGCAGGGGGCCTCTTCCCACCGTGTGCCCAAGACCACTTTTTCCCTCTTCTTGACTCACCCTGCCCTCAATATCCTCCCCCTCCCCCGCCCCCGCCCCCCGGCGCAGGCAATGAAGGGGCGTTCCTGGCTCCCGGCTTGCCTGCACGTTCCAGGGAGGGGAGGGACTTCCGCCCTCACGTCCCGCTCTTCGCCCGGGGCTGGATGGAGTGAAAGGGACACTGTCTCTCACCCTGGGCAGCACAGCCCACAGGTTTCCAGGAGTAACTCTGTGGGAGGCCTGTGGCAGCCATCCTGTCCTCCCCCTCTGCCACAGCCCGGGGAGAACCGCCGGTGCACACAGGGCCTGGTTTGTCTGCCGTAATTATCAGGTCCAGGCTACAGGGCTGCAGGACACCGTGACCTTCCGTGCAGAAACCTCCCCCTCAAGCCGCCTCCCGAGCCTCCTTCCTTTCCAGGTCCCCACCGCCCAGTGCCCAGCCCAGGCCTCGGTCCCAGAGAAGCCAGGAGATGGGGAGGGGGAGGAGGGGCTGGGAAGAGCCCGCCAAGGCCCACGGACCTCCTAGGCCTTTGCCTCAGCTTTCTGGTGTCACTACCGCAGAGCCTCGAGGAGAAGTTCCTCAACTTTCCCACCTCTCAGCCTTTGAAAGAAAGGGGAGGGGGCCGGCCGCGTGCAGCCGCGAGCTGTGCTGGGCTTTGGCTCCAATTCCCCATCTCAGTCGCTCCCAAAGTCCTCTTGTTTCATCCGTGCGTGAAAGGTTAACGTCCTTGGCTCCCCAGGGCCCCGGTCCTCGACTCCCTAATCTCTTGCCTGCCCACAGTCCAGTCCTGGGAACCAGCACTGATCAACTCCCATCGGGCCAAATCTCAGTCCCTTCCCCCTCTCCGCCGGGGCCCACACGCTTGGTGAGTGCCCAGTTGAACCAAGCAGCTGCTGGGGGGAGGGGGGGAAAACGGGCCCGACTACTCGCGGTTTTACGGGCGCACGTAGCTCAGGCCTCGAGCCCTAGGGCTGGGACTGGCTGAGCCGGGCGGAAGGCGGGTTTTGAGTCACCGCCTGCTGGCACGCCCCCCGTTCCTATAAATTCAGCCCGCATCCTCCCGCTGCGCTCTCTGCTCCTCCTGTTCGACAGACAGCCGCATCTTGTCTCCCATCGCCAGGTGAAGACCGGCGGAGAGGACCACGGGAGGCTCGGGACGGCCCGAGGGCGGCAGGGGCGGGCGCGGGCCGTGTGTGTTTGCGCCGCTGCGGGGTGGGCGCGGGCGCGGGCCCGGGCGGCCTCCGCATTGCAGAGGTGTGCGGAGGACGTGTTGCGGCGCTGGTTGGGCATGGAGGCTTGAAGCGGGGGGGGGGGGGGGGGGGGTGCGTGGGCGTTGGCCATTGCCGCTTGGCCCTCACTGTCCTCTCCTTCCGCGCAGCCACATCCCTGAGACACCATGGGGAAGGTGAAGGTCGGAGTCAACGGGTGAGTTTGCAGGTGGCTTGGGGGCCCTGGGCTGCAGCCGTCCCCGAATTGCGTCCACGAGTCTCGCGGGCTCCGAGTCTTTGCAGTCGCATGGGGGTGGGGTGGCTATGCCCCCGCCAAGGAGAGCTGAAGGTCAGCGCTAGGACCTGGCGGAGCCCCGGACCCAAGCTGTAGCGCCCTGTGCAGCTCCGCCCCTGCGGCGCCATCTGCCCGGAGGCTTCCTGCTCTCATCCCCAGGAACCGGAGGTCCCCACGCCCGCCCGGAATCCCTTCCGACCCGGACCCCTAGCTGGGGCTGCTTTCTTTTCTTTCGCGCTCTGCGGGGTCACGTGTTGCAGAGGAGCCCCTCCCCCACGGCCTCTGGCACCGCAGGCCCCGGGATGCTAAGTGCGCAGCGGGTGCATCCCTGTCCGGAGGCTGCGCCCTGCGGTAGAGCGGGCGCCATGTTGCAACCGGGAAGGAAATGAATGGGCCACCGTTAGGAAATTCTGCCAGTGACTAACCCAACACTTCTGCCTCGGTGGGTGGAGTCGCCTGTGCCGGGGAAGTCAGGTGGAGCAAGGCTTGCGGACCACAGACCCGCAAGCCCGATGTCCCCTCTGGGTGATGCTTTTCCTAGATCATTCTCTGGTAAATCAAAGAAGTGGGTTTATAGAGGTCGTCCTCCTGTGTTCCCTCCCCCCAGAGGTGTGGCTGTAGCTTGGTGCCTAGCCGGGGGAGCTGAGTCATGTATGGGGTTGGAAAAGGACTTTTCCACCGCAAATGGTCCCTCTGGCGGTGGCCCCATCCTGCGGTGCCCGCTCACCTCATGGCCCTGCTCTTCCCCTGCCAGCCTACCATTGACCCGACCCCAAAGGCCAGGCTGTAAATGTCACCGAATGGATTGGGTGTCCCGGAGCCTTGGGAAACCTGCCCTTTTCCCCATTCCGTCTTCCAGAAACCAGATCTCCCACTGCACCCTGGTCTGAGGTTAAATATAGCTGCTGACCTTTCTGTGTAGCTGGGGGCCTGGGCTTGGGTTCTCTCCCATCCCCTTCTTCCCACGCACATACACATACCTGTTGCTCCCACGCCTGATTTCTGGAAAAGAGCTAGGAAGGACAGGAAACATGGCAAATCAGAGCCCTGGGACTAGGGGGGTTAAAAACAGCTTTTTTCCTCATCTCTGTCCCTTTTATAGGAGGGGCTTAGAGAAGGGGGTGAGCTTGCCCTGTCCAGTTAATTTCTGACCTTTACTCCTGCCCTTTGAGCTTGTTGATGCTGACTGTACAAGTGTTTTCTCCCTAAAGGGTGCAGCCTGAAGCTGAGCCAGGCAGCAGCAAGTATTCCTGGGGCATAGTGGGGTGATGAATGCCATGTGCTAAGCTTGTGCCCAGGCTGTGGGTGGCAGTGCCCCACATGACCACTTCTCTGAGAAGGGCTTCCCATGACTGGGGGTGTTGGGCAGCAGCGGCACCTTCATTTGGAGCCATGCTGTAAAGCTAGGCCACCCTGGCAGGCAAGCTCAAGGGAGATGAGGTTCGGGCCCTCCTAGGGGTAAGAGTATGCTGCATTCACCCTCTTAATGGGGAGGTGGCCTAGGGCCGCTCACACCCCCTGGAGAACCCTCCCCTCCTCATGCCTTCTTGTCTCCTAGATTTGGTCGTATCGGGCGCCTGGTCACCAGAGCTGCTTTTAACTCTGGTAAAGTGGATGTCGTCGCCATCAATGATCCCTTCATCGACCTCAACTACATGGTGAGTGCTGCCCCAAAGCTGGTGTGGGAGGAGCTGCCTGGCTGATGGGCAGCCCCTTCATACCCTCACATGTTCCCCAGGTCTACATGTTCCAGTATGATTCCACCCATGGCAAATTCCATGGCACTGTCAAGGCTGAGAACGGGAAGCTTGTCATCAATGGAAATCCCATCACCATCTTCCAGGAGTGAGTGGAAGACAGAACAGAAGAAATGTGCTTTGGGGAGGCAGCTAGAATGGTGTGCCCCCCTTGGGTATATGGTAATCTCATGTCTCTCAATACGGTCCTGTCCCTGTCTCCCCCCCCACCCCCAAAGGCGAGATCCCTCCAAAATCAAGTGGGGCGATGCTGGCGCTGAGTATGTGGTGGAGTCCACTGGCGTCTTCACCACCATGGAGAAGGCTGGGGTGAGTGCACGAGGGCCCACAGGAGGGGAAGTTGACTCAGCCCTGCAGAGGCAGAACCCAGGTTTGTAACTGTCTATTTACTTTCTCTGCTCTAGGCTCACTTGCAGGGGGGAGCCAAAAGGGTCATCATATCTGCCCCCTCTGCTGATGCCCCCATGTTCGTGATGGGCGTGAACCATGAGAAGTATGACAACAGCCTCAAGATCGTCAGGTGAGGAAGGCAGGACCAGTGGAGAGGCAGCCAGCCTGGCACCCTGTGGACGTGCTCCCCTAACTTGCCCCTCCTCCCTCTTTGCAGCAACGCCTCCTGCACCACCAACTGCTTAGCGCCCCTGGCCAAGGTCATCCATGACAACTTTGGTATCGTGGAAGGACTCATGGTATGAGATGCCAAATGGGACTGATGCTCCTGCCTTTCTCATCCAGAATTGGCTCCTCCCTGCCAGGACATACAACCCTGGGGGTTGGGGGGTTCTGGGGACTGGCTCTCCCATCATTTCCATCCACGGTGGGGAGGGAGGGAGAGGGGTGGTATGGGGAGCGCTCTGCAGGGCCTCACTTTCTCTTCCAGACCACCGTCCATGCCATCACTGCCACCCAGAAGACCGTGGATGGCCCCTCCGGGAAACTGTGGCGTGATGGCCGTGGGGCTCTCCAGAACATCATCCCTGCCTCTACTGGCGCTGCCAAGGCCGTGGGCAAGGTCATCCCTGAGCTGAACGGGAAGCTCACTGGCATGGCCTTCCGTGTCCCCACTGCCAACGTGTCAGTGGTGGACCTGACCTGCCGCCTGGAAAAACCTGCCAAATATGATGACATCAAGAAGGTGGTGAAGCAGGCGTCGGAGGGCCCCCTCAAGGGCATCCTGGGCTACACTGAGCACCAGGTGGTGTCCTCTGACTTCAACAGCGACACCCATTCTTCCACCTTCGATGCTGGGGCTGGCATTGCCCTCAACGACCACTTCGTCAAGCTCATTTCCTGGTATGTGGCTAGGGCTGGAGTTAGGCTCTTAAAAAGTGATGTGGGGTCTGACGCCCTCTGGTGGGCGGCTCAGAAAAAGGCCCTAACAACTCTTCATCTTCTAGGTATGACAATGAATTTGGCTACAGCAACAGGGTGGTGGACCTCATGTCCCACATGGCCTCCAAGGAATAAGACCCCTGGACCACCAGCCCCAGCGAGAGCACGAGAGGAAAAGAGGCCCTCACTCCTGGGGAGTCCCTGCCACACTGAGTCCCTCACCACACCGAATTGCCCCTCCTCACAGTTTCCATGCAGACCCCTTGAAGAAGGAGGGGCCTAGGGAGCCCCACCTTGTCGTGTACCATCAATAAAGTCCCCTGTGCTCAGCCAGTTCTTCGTCCTGTCTTATCCTGTCTAGGGCAGAGGGGAGGGAAGCTGGGTTGGTGGAAGGTGAGACATTCTTGCTACAAGGGACCTGGTACATTACCCTCAAATTGAGGGTAGGGCCTCCAAACAGCCTTGCTTGTTTCAAGAACCATCGGCTTCCTGCTCAGAGGTCTGAGTGCTACAGGAAGGTGGCACCACCGCTTAAGAGAACAAGCCTTTGTTCTCTCCCTGCTCCAGTCCTAGGCTATCTGCTGTTGGCTGAACATGGAAGAAGTTATTCTTTGGGCAACCTCAGGGAGGGTGACTGGCTGGCGGAAGAAGTCAGGGCTCACACTGGGCTCTGATGGCGACTGGGCAATTCCAGTTTGGCCTCCACAGCTGTGAGGTCTTGAGCAAGGGCTCTTTGCTTTCTGTGCCCTTGTACCTTATCTGCAAAACAAGGATGTGACTGTGGCCAGCCCCAAGGGCTTCAGCAGGATTCATCTAGGTAAACTAAGTACTTAAAATCTATGCCCAAGATGGTAAGCACTATGTAATTTTTAAAAATCCGTAAGGTTAATGCCCACCTCATACAGTTTAAGAGGACGATGAACTGTGTGTTAGGGGGAGCTTGGGTAGGGGCAAGGCATGGAGCTGAGACCTGCTTTGGGCAGAGTGCTCACGCCTATAACCCCAGCACTTTGGGAGGCCAAGGTGGGTGGATCCCCTGAGGTCAGAAGTTTGAGACCAGCCTGGCTGAAACTCCATCTCTACTGAAACAAAGTTTAGCCAGGCATGATGGCACACACCTGTAGTCCCAGCTGCAGTGAGCTGAGGCCACACCACTGCACTCCAGCCTGGGCAAGAGTGTGAGACTCCATCTCAAAAAAATTAAAAAGTACCTACCTCAGAGGTCAAACTAGTTAATATTAGGAAGTGCTTGAAACAGTAACACCAAAGATACTTGCCAGTTGCATTATTATTAAAGAATCCATTCGAATGTCAGCTTAGCACAGCCTCCTATATGGAGGCGTTATGAATCACATCTCCCCAGTTTCTCCAGGCTTTTCTGAGTCATACACTGAGCCTGTTGGTCTCTGTATGACAGACACAGACATCTTTAGCTGATACTTAAAAGAAACTGAGACCCTAAGCCAGCGCGCACGCACACACGCACGCATGCACAGAGCTTCTTTGCCTTCTCTGTCATTCTGCAGTGACCAGGAGAGCAAGAGCTCCCACCTCCCTTCAAGATACTGTGCCCATCCCGGGCACTAAGGCCTCTTTAAAGCACGGCACCTCCATGAGAAGGCCACAGCCACATGTATTCCACCTGACAGGTGGACAGCATGAGCACATGAACCACAAGCAGGGACAGGGTGCCCCGGCCAGCCCCAATGCCCTCCACACTAACGGACGGAAGCCCTCTCCAACTGTGTGTGCTACAGTGGCCATGCCTGGCCTCCAGCTGCATTCATTCCACTCCAGTACTTGGGCCAGTTAGCACCAGTGCGGAAGACAGTGAGCCGGCTCCAGACAACAGTGATGGAGGAAAGGTCCTACATTCACATTCCTGACACGTGGACAAAGTGAGGGTCTGTAATCACTCTGGCAGCATTTTAAAGATGGGGAAGTAGCAGAGACCCATACATGAAGGCAGGAGAGCCCCAACTGTGGTGGAAATGGCTCCTGAAGGGCAGGGCCAAGCCTAGCTCCAGACACCCCAGAGCCCAAGAGAAGCCAAGACCTAGGAGGAAGCCCGAGGGAGGAGCGCCCCAGTCCCCAGCGGCCAGGCCTCGCGCAGTGGTGCAAGTGATGCTCCCCTCTGTGCAGCCCCGCCCTCTGCCTCGCTGAGCTCCCGGCTGGGAGGATCTCGGGCCAGGGAGTGCAAGGGGGAGTCAGGTCTCTATCTCAGGGAGCTATCAGATGAGACATCGCGATCTGAGTCCTCAGTCTCGCTTGGCGGCGGCGGCGGCGGGTCGCTAAGCGGGACCGCAGAGAAAGCAGGAGACTTTCTAGAAAAAAACACCAGTTGTCAACCTTGGGGCAGGCAGGAATCCTGAAGTCGGCACTCCTCTTCCTGCCACCTCATCCTCTGGCAGCAGGTGAGGAGCACCAGAGGCAAGGGCGGGGCAGCAGGAGGGCAGCAGAAAGGGAACTCTTTCCAACCCACCCTGACTGGGAAATGGGCCCTGCCTATGTCTTGGGAACTCAAGAGGCTGAGGTCAGGTGCGGTGGCTCACACCCATAATCCTAGCAAGGGAGGCTGAGGCGGGTGGGCGGGTGGGGGAGGCGCGGGGGGGAATTACAAGGTCGGGAGATAAGAGACCATCCTGCCTAGCATAGTGAAACCTCATCTCTACTAAAACACGGCTTGCGGGCGTGGTGGGACAAGCCTGTATTCCCAGCTACTCTGGAGGCTGAAGCAGGGGAATTGCTTGAAGCCGGGAGGCCGAGGTTGCAGTGAGCCGAGATTGGGCAACTATACTCCAGCCTGGTGACAAAGTAAGACTTCGTGTCACACACACACACCCCAAAAAAACCTGCCCCTACTTCTCTTCTCTTTCTTGACAGTTTTTTTGGTTTTTCCTTCTTTTTTTTTTGAGATGGAGTCTAGCTCTGTTGCCCAGGCTGAAGTGCAGTGGTGCAATATTGGCTGACTGCGACCTCTGCCGCCCAAGTTCAAGGGATTCTCCTGCCTCAGCCTCCCAAGTAGCTCAGATTAAAGGTGCTTTTTTTTTTTTTTTTTTTTTTTTTTTTTGGTATTTTTAGTAGAGACGAGGTTTCACTGTGTTGGCCAGGCTGGTCTCAAACTCCTGACCTTATGATCCACTCACCTCGGCCTCCCAAAATGCTGGGATTACAAGCGTGAGCCACCGCACCTGGCCTCTTCTTGCCAGTTTTTAAACTGCCTCTAACCAGAGGAACCACCAGAGCTGATGGCCTTGGGAGGTTTCAGCCATGAATGGACACCAACTGCCAAGGGGGAGAGAGCTGTGGGTCTGGGCCAGCCACACCAAGTGACTCCCAAAGGGCAGCCCCACACCAAGATGTGACCCAGTTACTGCTTGAGGGTCTTCGGGGCTGCATTCCACCCTTTCTCCTCCCTGCGTCCCACTGGAAGGCTCCAGACCTCAGGGGAGGCGCCTACCGGTCTCCGGACTGGGTGATGAGCCGGCGGCAGGTCTCCATCTGCACGTCCAGGCCGCGCTTCATGCTGCACATCTCCATGTACTCGTGCAGGTGCCGGTTCATGTCATTCTTGGCTGTGGCCAGCTCCAGCTGTGGCGGGGCAGGCAGGGCCATTGGGGTTAGTAGGTGGGGTTCACAGTGCCTCTGTCCTCCCCGCCAGGAGGCTAACACATCAAGGGCAGTGGCTGGGCCGGGAGCCCAGGCAGCCATTGCTGAAGGCTGATTTTAAAATAAGTCAGACCGAGGCAGAAGGCACCAAATACATTATTTCCTCTGACTTTCCTGGAACCCTCTGCCCATGGAGGAATGTAAAGGTACTGCTGCAGGCTGCATTCAGAGTGATGAGTGGCGTTGAAAGTCGGTGTGGGCGGATGGAGCAGATCCACAGGCCCCCAGGGCCACATGGGTTCCTGCTGGGCTCAGCTCACCCCTCATCCACTGTGCTGTGCTAACTGCACTGTGAGCTCATTTACAGGTTAGCGATGGGTCTTCCTCATCCCTGCAGACCCAGACCTCGACGGGATTTAACTCACTCTGTGAAGTGCCCATGAGACCTGTGGCATACAAGAAGCCTGGCTCATTGCTGAAAGGGGCCCAATCGTCTTCCCATCACTTTATTTTCTCACCTAAAAGCCATTTTCAAACACTAAAAGGAAGACTCCCATGTGCCACTGATTCTGAGATGTGTCCTGACTTCAGAAATGTCACATGTGAAAAACATGGGGCTCAGAATCAAAGAAATGCAATCTCCCTCCCAGAGCCCATTCTGCAGCCCAGGCTCTGAGGCAGACGGAGGCAGGGCCCAGGCGGCACAAGCTCCAGCTGTGGCGGGGCAGGCAGGGCCATCGGGGTTAGTAGGTGGGGTTCACAGTGCCTCTGTTCACAGTGACTGCCTCTCTTTGGTTTGGGTACAAAGGGCAAGGGCCATAAGGTGAGGACAAATGAAACTGCCTGGAGGTGACCTTTGTGACTGCCTGAGCAAGAGGACGGGGAGGGTGCCAGCTGTGATCATCTGGATTGGACAGAGGTGGTGGGAACTTAGAGAAAGAAGGAAACAGGCCACAGGGCCAGACAACAGTAATGGTCAGGACACTGACATGTGGGGTGAGATGGCAGCTGGGTGGGTGAGAAGCCCTAGTGGGGACAGCTCTAGTGGCAGGCTTGGCTGCCACAGTAGCGGGAGGAGCAGGACACAGTGACTGTTCAGCCCAGGGAGAAAACACGGTGCTACCAGCTCTTCCTCAGATTAGCTGCCTATACCCCAATTCCTCTACCTTAGAAAAGCCAGAGTGCAGGGGGCTGGCTTCCGGAACGATCACTCAGGGAGACTAGGGAGAAGGAAATGAACCAAATATATTCTACTGAAATACAAGGCCAGCCTTGTATTGCCACCAGTAGTCTGCATATTCTATGTCCCCACTTAATTCACAAATTTACAGCGGGAATGCGGTCAGGAGATGAACGTGCAAGTCAGGAGATGTCCTTGATAAGCTACCTCGAAAACTGCAGGCTCGCTGTGTGACCAGACTTGGGGGTGAGATGGGAGGAGACAGAGAGGTGAGGAGGAGTGGGAAGAACTGCCTCCCTCCCACCACTCTGGGCAGTGGATTTACCAGAGGAACTGGTCCTTGCTCCATCTTAGTGACCCTGAGACAAAAGGTCACAAAGATAAAGGTACCTTGGGTATTCCTGAGGTCAGCAAGTCCCCCTAAAGGTTCCCCTAACGCAGAAGTCCTCAACCCCCAGGCCACAAACCAGTACCTGTCTGTGGCCTGTTAGGAACCAGGCCCAACAGCAGGTGGTGAGCAGTGGGCAAGTGAGAGAGGCTTCATCTGGATTCACAGCTGCTCCCCATCACTGGCATTACCGCCTGAGCCCTGTCTCCTGTAAGATCCACAGCGGCATTAGATTCTCAAGGGAGCAGGAACCCTATTGTGAACTGTGCATGTGAGGGATCTAGGCTGCATGCTCCTTATGAGAATCTAATGCCTGATGATCTGTCACTGTCTCCTGTCACCCCCAGACAGGACTGTCTAGTTGCAGGAAAACAAGCTCAGGGCTCCCACTGATTCCACATTATGGTGACTTGTATAATTATTTCATTTTTTTGCTGAAAATTATTTCATTTTAACTGCATAACAAGAATGTAATAATAGAAATAAAGTGCACAGACCAAGATGGTGGCTGGCGCCTGTAATCCCAGCACTTTGGGAGGCCAAGGCAGGCAGATCACCTGAGGTCAGCAGTTCAAGCAAGACCAGCCTGACCAATGTGGAGAACCCCGTCTCTACTAAAAATACAAAATTAGCCATGTGTGGCAGCACGAGCCTGTTGTCCCAGCTACTCAGGAGGCTGAAGCAGGAGAATTGCTTGAACCAGGGAGGCGGAGGTTGCGGTGAGCCGAAATCGTGCCATTGCACTCCAGCCTGGGCAACAGAGTAAGACACCATCTCAAAAATAAAATAAATAAATAAAGTGCACAACAAATATAATGTGCTTGAATCATCCTGAAACCATTCCCCACTCAGGTCAGTGGAAAAACTGCCATCCAAAAAACCAGTCCCTGGTACCATAAAGGTTGGGGACTGCTGCCCTGAAGTCACTGTACTTGGAGAAAGAGGGGATCAGATGACTTGAAAATACGCTTTTTTTTTTTTTTGAGACAGAGTCTCGCTCTGTCACCCAGGCTGGAGTGCAGTGGAGCATTCTTGGCTCACTGCAGCCTCCGCCTCCCTGATTCCAGCGGTTCTCCTGCCTCAGTCTCCCAAATAAGTGGGATTACAGGCACCCACCACAACACCTGGCTAATTTTTGTATTTTTAGTAGAGACAGGGTTTCATCATGTTGGTGGCCAGGCTGGTCTTGAACTCCTGATCTCAAGTGATCCGCCTGCCTTGGCCTCCCAAAGTGCTGGGATTACAGGGGAGGGCCACTGTGCCCAGCAGAAAATAGCTTAAAAGGCATGACTCCATTTAGGATATTCTTTTCATTCATTCGGATCGTGTTTTACACTGGGCACTTGAGGTCCAGGGAGACTAAGGAGAGATGGCAGCCCGAGCTCTCTTCTTCATGCAGATGGCTGCGCAAAGGCCCCTATTTGGTTGAAGGCACAATGAAAACACCAGACCTTAAATCCACCAACCAAAAGAGGGAGGCGAGAATCAGGTCAGGCAGGAGGGAGGAAACAGAGAGCCGGGTAGACAGGAGAGTGGGGATGATTGGTTTCCCTTGCCGTGTCTTTAGGTAGCAGCACAAATCCAGGAAACCTCATCTACCTGGCCAAGAAAACCAGGTTTGCTTGCAGGAGCAGGACAATTTGATGTGTGTTGGGAGAATGAGTATGTAGAAAAATAACTTCCCAACTTCCTTCTCAAACACATCCAGTGTGAGAGCAGTAAGGGTAAAGCCGCTCCCTCCTTATCCACTGCTTCACTTCCTATGGCTTCAGGTGCCCGAGGTAAACCTTGATCTGAAAATATTAAATCAAAGATTCCAGAAGTAAGCAATTCCTAAGTTTTAAACTGCACGCTGTTCTGAGTGGCCTGATAAAATCTCAGGCTAGGCTGAGCACGGTAGCTCACACCTATAACCTCAGCACTTTGGAAGGCCAAGGCAGGCGGATCACCCGAGGTCAGGAGTTCGAGACCAGCCTAACCAAAATGGAGACTCCCCATCTCTACTAAACCTCACTCTCTCCAGCGCAAAACGTGAACCCTCCCTCTGTCCCAAAGATCCACACTGTCTACACTGCCTGCTTAGTAGCCCTCTCAGAGATCAGACTGACCGTCACGGTATCACAGTGCCTGTGTTCAAGGAACCCTTATTTTTACTTCATAATGGCCCCAAAGCACAAGAGTAGTGATGCTGGTAATTTGGATATGCCAAAGAGAAGCCAGAATGTGCTCCCATTAAGTGAAAAGGTAAAACTTTTCAACTTAATAAGAAAAAGAATCCTACGCTGAGGTTACTAAGCTCTATAGTAAGAATGAATCTCCTATCTGTGAAATTGTAAAGAAGGAAAAACAGATTTGTGCCAGTTTTTCTGTCACACCTCGAACTGCAAAGATTACTGCCACAGTGCATGCAAAGTGCTCAGCTAGGATAGAAAAGGCACTGAACGTGTAGGTGGGAAACATGGACGGAAACACCCAAGCTACCAGGGGTTCGGGGCTATCTGTGGTTTCAGGCATCCACTGGCGGGTGCCCGCAGTTAAGGGGGGACTATGGTATGAATCCGCCACATGGGCTTGAAGAGAGGTTGAGAGTCAGAGAAGGCACCAGGCCTCTCCTCCAGTCAGAGCATACAGAAACGACCATCTCACCAGGGCAGGAGAGCTCACAGGCATCCCGTCCATCCCTCCTCCCACAGCAACCTCCATTCTGTGGTTCCACAAATCCTTCTTGCAGCTCCTAAAGCCTGGAGTTTAAGGTGCCACTTGCCTCTAGGTACCTCTAGGTTGAGTTTAGGTGCCACTTGCCTCTAGGTACCTCTAGAAGGTATTTCAAGGCTCGAGAAAAAGCCTGGAGATTTCTATTACCTCAAAGGCTGAGTGAGTGGAAGAAACAGGAATGTCCAAGTCCATCTCTGAGTGCTACGGCACTGATAGTGTTAATAATAAAACAGTCTCCACCACGGTACACTCACTATGAGCCAGACACTGCCCTAAGCTCTATATGTGCATTATTTCATCTGATCTTCTAAACAATCCTATAGGGGAAGTTTTATTAAATTCCTCATTTTACAAATAAAGAGGCCGGGCACAGAGGCTCATGCCTATAATCCAAACACTTTGTGAGGCCAAATTGGGCAGACTGCTTGAACCCAGAAGTTTGAGGCCAGCAAGATCATGTCAGAAAGAAAGAAAAGGAAGAAAGGAGAGAGGGAGGGGGGAAAGAAAAGAAAAGAAAGAGGGAGGGAGGGAGGGAGGGAGGGAGGAAGGAAGGAAGGAAGGAAGGAAGGAAGGAAGGAAGGAAGGAAGGAAGGAAGGAAGGAAGGAAAGGGAGGGAGGAAGGGGTACAGGGGCTAGGCACATGGCTCATGCCTGTAATTCCAGCACTTTGAAAGGCTGAAGCAGGAGGATCATTTGAGCCCAAGAATTTAAGACATGCCTGGGAAACACAGGGAGACCCCCATCTCTACAAAAGAAAAAAATTAAAAACTAGCTGGGTGTGGTAGTGCACACCTGTGGTCCCAGCTACTCAGAAGGCTGGGGTGGGAGGATCACTCCAGACCAGGCAACAGAGTGAAACAGAGTGAGACTTTGTATCAAGAAAAAAAAAAAAGAAAAAAAGAAAGTAACTGACTCAGAGGGAACAAGTAACTTGTTACAAGTTCAGAGTGATTGTAAGTGACAGAGTTGAGATTTGAACCCACATCTGTCTGCTTCCAGAGTCTTCAGAGCCCACCAGAAGGACTACAGCTGAGAGGCCACTCCTCCCGAGATCCTGGTCTCTAAGGTCCCTTAGGAGGAATGAGGCCACTGTGCCTGCAGCCCCACTCAAAACCCTCTGCGACACTGTGCCCGGGCTTCTGCCCCTGCCCTTACCTCTATCTGGTCAATGGTCTCCTGATACTCCTTCTCCCGGGTTTTGAACAGGGACTCTGTATCTTTAATCACCTTCTCCAGGCTGTCTTCCTGCTGCTGGAGTACAAAGGGAAGCGAGGGAGGCCAGCCAGGGAGGGATGGGATGGGGCACGTTCCACAGGCCAAGTCGGGGGGACAGAGAGAAAGACTGGTTAAAGAAACTGGAGAAAGAAAAGCAAAAGGATCAAGGAAGTGGGGAGACGCAGGTAGAGGATGACAGCCACACGGGGGGACAGAGCGAGGAGTGGAGGGAGGGAGGCCGGGCGTCGGGCTGGAGGCAGAGCCAGAGGGCCCTGAGGCCGGGAGCAGAGGTTACCTCTCCCTGGGCCTCTGCAGCTGCCATGGCATAGCCTGAGAAATCCTCCCAAAGCAGCAGGGTCTCCTCAGTCTCCTCCCAAGTCAGGCTGTCACAGTCGTCCTCAAAATCATACTCCCTCCTAGAGACAGGGAACCCGGGTGTTAGGGCAGGTGGAGCCTCGTCCTGGCAGGGGACTAGGGAGCTCCGGCCTCCTGGGCTGCTGTGGCATCGGTGCTGCGGGAGCGCGGCCTGCGGACTCACAGCTGGTTGAGCATGCGCTGCATCTCCTCGTTGATGCTGAGGGCTGTGCTCTCCTCCTCATCCCCATCAGGCTGGCGGGGCCCCTCACTCTCGGACAGGGAGGTGTCCTCCTCGACGGCAGCCTTGCGCTCCCGCTTCCGCCCCCCCATGGATGGGACCTTAATGGGAGACAAGTGCAGAGACTACAGAGACGAGGCCGGGTGCATGAGGAGAAAGGGCGGGAGCGGGAGGCCGGGCAGAGAGGACGGGAAGGGGGGAGAAGCGTGAACCAGCAGGAAGGGTGGGGCAGACAGAGAGAAAAGTCACAGTTACAATGACAGGAACAGAAACACGGACAGTCACCAAGGGCCAGACACACAGACACACAGCGGGGGCCAGGGCTGCAGACTGAGAAGGCAGAACAAGAAGAAATAGAGAAAGAGAGCGGTCAGACGAGGGAGGAAGGGCTTGTTCCGTCAGATATGCATGACGGCTCAAGAGGAATTTTTTTTTGTAAAAAAAGCCTTTTTCATTAAATGACTCAACTAAAAAAAAAAAAGCTTTAGGCTGCAAGGAGGATGAGGGTGCAATGTGTACAAAGGAGAACCTGAATCACATCCAGATCTGGAAAGCCGGGGGAGAAGGGAAAGAAAGAAATGCAGTCAAGAGAACGAGAGAGAGAGAGAGAGAGAGAAAAAGGGGGAAGAGCAAGGAAAAGAGAAAGGGGAGAAAAAAATCTTGTGCTGAAGAGCCCAGCGGGCCCAAACTGAGGGCCAGGAGGCCCAGGCAGCTTAGAAACTGGGACTGGGACATTAATAAGCTTGCGTGAGATCAAACTAACCAGCTTCTTCTGTGGAGGAAGCAAGAGAGAAGATGAGAGGAAGAGAGGAGAGGAAGCAGACAGAGGAGAGAGAGGGGGAAGGGAGAGACGGCGTTAGAGATAGCTTCCACAATGGCCCTCCTGACGCTGCTCCTTGCCCCCCAGCCTAGCCCCGCAAGGGCCCCAGGTGCCAGGATAAGGCTCCCCAAGTGGGAGGCAGGGCCTGCGTCCGGGCCAGCCACCGAGGAAGCATCCACCTGCCCCACCCACCCCTGAGAGCGGAGGCAGCTTCATCCTCACCTGGAACATCTGGATCATGTCCTCGCAGTTGCGCTGCTGAGCCACGTCACAGAGCTTGGCGGTGATGTCGATGCGACGGCAGATGTCCATATCCACCTTCATGGCTTTCTCCTGGATCTTGGTATCCAGCTCCGACAGGTTCTGTCCAGGGAACACAGGGAACAGTGAGGAGACACCCAGTTCTCCAGACAACGACGAATAAGGCCTGGCAAGGTCCTCATCCTCCCACCACATTGCACCAGTGCCTCTTCCATGGAGTCTCCCTGAGCTGAATGCACCCCTCTTCCTGGGTGGCAGTGGCCTCCCCACAGCACTGTGTGAATATGCTGGGCATGGCAGCTCCGACCACTGCTCCCTGGCCAAAGGGAAGCCCTGGAGGGCATGGCCAGTGCCTGGGACATGGAGGGGCTCCCTAGGACATGTAGGGGATCCCTGGATCAGCAGTTCTCATCCTCCTGGAACGTAGATTCCCAGAGAGAAAGAGACTCCTGGGAATTATAAGCGTGGAGAAAGGACTGTAATAATCACAACAGCTAACACTCTTGCAGCTAAGGCTGCGTGCCGGGCACTGTCCTAAGTACATGATCACCTTCACAATACTCCTGCAGAGGGCACGCCTTTCTTTCCCCACACCAAAGGTGAGGCCTCAGAGGCTGAGGAATTGGCCCAGGGTCCCCTGAGCCAGCCACAGAGCCTCCACCCCAGAAGCCACTCACTAACCGTTCTGTAACCCCAGGCCCTCAGAAGCTGCACCACCTCTGAGACGCAACACCAAGACTTTTGTTCCTTCTCTTTCTCTGGAGTTGGGGGTGGCTAGGGGAAAAGGGAAGGGGAGCAAAGAGAAGGGGAGGAGGCGTGGATAGGACGCCAACAGGCCAACTCTAGAAGGGCCTGCTGCTCTGGCCTGAGAAGCCTCACGCTGACCCTCAGGGAAGCCTGGAGCTGCACTCACGTTACTCATGAGCCCCTTGAAGACCACCAGCTCAGCCTTCAACTGTTCCACTTTCAGTGCCAGCTCCTCCTGGCAGGCATCAGCCTCCTGGGCTTCCTGAAGTTGGGAGAAACCCTGATGTTAGTGGCACTGCTGAGGTAGGAAGAAGGTAAAGATGACAAGGAGGGACAGGGAGATGATGCCAGGGTTGTGGCCAGACAGGGGCACCCAGGGAAGCACGGGCAGTGAGTGGGGCACCACCCTCACCTCCTGGAGCTCATTTACACGGTCCTGCAGCTGGATCCGCACCGTGTACTCCTCTTCCCACCTGACAGACAGGGAAGGGCCGAGAGAGCTTAGGGACAGAGTCCTTCCCTGCCCCCGTGGCTCCCTGTCCCCACCTCTCTGGTTCAGGCCTCAGACCCCAGTTCTGGTTCCCCAGATGGGGAGGAGCAGGGCATGGGAATGCCTGCCCAGTCAGCCGGTGGCCAACTGCAGCTGTTGCGTGGCTCCGTGCTTCCTGACGGGCGTCAAGCTCGCCAGCTGCCTTCCCAGAACCTCCTGGTCGCACACCAGGAGCTCTGTTTGAGCAACTGCTGCAGCTCCGGTCCTCTGCGGCACCCATCCCCGCTCAGGCCCCAGCTCATCCAACTGCCTGGCTGGTCTCATCACCCACCTCCTGCCCACACCAGACCACCAGGTCCACCCAGCCCAGTCTCCCACCTTCAGTCGCACAGATCCGGGCTCCCGCCTCCTGCCCGCACCAGAACAGAGCTCGTCGAGCCCGCTGCCCTGCCTCTTGTGGTATCATTTAACCCTGTAAAAGCATCTGCAGGATACACACTGTATCAACAGAGTGGGTCAAGAGCCTGATAGGAGACACTCAAAGTCCTTCCCCACAAGCTCCAGAAACTGCCCACCCAGAGCCTCCTCTAAGTGAGCCACAGAGAGGTGACGGACCTGGCTCAGAGGCCAGAAGTTCCCCGGCAACATGACAGCAGTGGACACACGAGCCTGAGGTTACTAGCACTCAAACCCAGTGGGAAAGCAGAGTATGTAAAGGGGCCCAGTGAGTACAGTGGATGAGCACTAGAAGCAGCCTCTCCCGGGACCCAGAATTCAGAGACTAAGACCGCAGCAGTCTGGACAACATTGGGCCACAGCACAGGGTGCTAGGTAGTGCACGCTTCCCAGAGCCAGCTTTGTCACATGTCATCGGCCATGGCAGGTGGTGCATATTCCATTCCATCAGAGATGGAAGCTGGGGCAATGCACTGCTTAGGACCTGCCCCGCACCTGGCTGGCATAGCGCACATCTCAGACCCTGCTCCTGTGAGCTCATCACTTCCATCAGCCTGAGAAAGGAGGGGAACTGCACCAAGAGAGAAACTTCAACATAAGATAGGTGGTTAGGAAGGGGCTAGGAAGACAGCAAGAAAATGGAAATCTAAGCGGACAGCTTTGGTAGGGTTAAGCCCTTTCCTCGCCTCCCCTCCATCTTCCTTCCTATGTCAGCCTCTGAGTCCCATCTCCTCACTCACAGCCACACTGCAGTACTCCTAATAATAACTCCTCCACATCACCTCGGCTGCCCCTCCCTGCTGGCCAGAGCAGGAGGAGGCAGCCAGCCCAGCCACCACTCTGCTGGCTCCCCACAAAGCCCGGCTCCCAGCCTGCCTGGCTCCCAGCCCCTTCCCTGTGGGTCTCATATGTGCTTCTCCCCTTCCCCCTGGCATTCTCATGCACGCAGTCAGGCCAGTAAGGGGCCTGGTCACATCAGGTTATATGTTTTCTTAGCTAAGACCCTTATCTTTTCTGGGTCTTGGTTTCTTCATCTACAATATGAAGGCATGAACTGTGGTGCCCTCATGCCCTGGAGCCCACAAGTCCCTGGAGGAAGACAGTAAGCCTGTCAAGGGCATGCTAACCCTGAACAAGATGCGTGAAGGAGGGCATGAGGGGCTGCCTGACGGTGAGCTCAGCGAAGCCCGGAAGAAGCTTAAGTAAGACAGTAGCTAAAGGTTAAGCTTAATGAAATCTTACAGGGTAAAAAATCTGAAAATGGATCATCTGGGAGCCCACTACAATTCTATTTGCTCTCCAGCCAGACTTCACACAAACAGGTTCATTTTGACCTCCACTTCCATCTGGTCTCACTTACAAGGTTCCCTTAATATGGGCAGACCTTGAGCGATTTCCATGCATTCTGCATGGACCAAACACCTCTATTCCAAAAAACTGTATCCCTGAGTTGAAGAGAGAAATCAGGGACCATTCCTATGTTGGAAAAATGGGGGCTCAAAAAAAGGTCACACACAAGGCAGGGGAGCTGAAAATAGAACCCAGGAAGCCTTTAGCTACCTCCCAGTTTAGTGCTCAAGCCATCCCAGGCCTTCCAGGCGGAAGACAGGAGTTACAGTGTTGCTATAAAGAGACCAGAATGAGGGCAGGGGATCTGGGGTGGAAGAAGAGTCACTGCCAGTGTCACGTACCATCCGAGCCTAGCTACAGCCCTTTACACAGCAGTGTGCTGCAGAGTGATGAGCTAATCGGTCTCCAAGGAATAACTCTTTCCTGCCCTGGACAGCTGGATCAAGGACAAACACTCCTTCAGTTAAAAAAAAAAAGTTCCTGAGAACAGCAGTTGTTCCTGTGGTTATGGATACATTCCAGAACTGTGCCTGTTCCACTGCTGAGTGTGGCAGTTAACTCCTGCAGGGGCACGGCAGGCTGGTTCTGGGTGGCACCTGAGTAATGATTTCAGGGCAACTGAAACGCCCAAGACGCAACTCAGGAAGCATGAGGACAAGACTCGGACTCCGAAAGCCTGCTAATCTGTGATCTGGCAGACTCCAGCAGGGTAAGATCCCTGAAGGTCTCCCCAGCAACCCAGCAGTCATTTCCTAGAACATTCGGCCAATCCTCACCCAGTGCTGAACCCCTGCTACACTGGGCTGCATAGATACTTTCCAGGCCTGCCCACAAGGGGTCCTAAGAGCTGAGATGAGACCGGAGGCCCCCAAACCAAAGTCTCCTCTGACTGTCACCACCTTCCTCCTCAACCATGCCATGGGTCGGAGTCTGCAAGACACTACCTCTGCTCTCACTCCTGTCCTTTCAGCCTGGTTATCAACCACCTAAGGAATCCTCTTGGTATAGAGCCAGCACTCCTGGCATCACATCCCTTCCCCTCGCCCCTTGGGGCCCAGCTTTTCTCAGCCAAATCTTCATCCACAGACTGCACTGGGCCCGCCCCACCACCTCGAAGTCCTAGGGAGTGTCTGTATCCCAGCTTCTTTCTGCTCAGTTCCTTGCTGGCTCTCCACTCTCCCTCCACAGCTGGGGCTTTATACTGCCAGAGATTCCCCATCAGCCCTGCTTTCCACCCTTACCCTAGGGAATTCCTTGACTCTTTCTTTTCCCACTTTGTTGACCTATTCAAGCAATGGCTTGAGGTCCCGGGGTTTTTCCTATGAAACCAGAGCAGGTACCTGGTTTCCATCAATATTCTTTAAGAAACCCTGGGCTGTGAAAGAATCACTCACTGCAGGGTGCAGCCCCTTCGTCATTACCCCCTTCCATTTTCACTCAATTTAGTCTCCCCAATGTACACTATATCCTTGCCTCCTACTTTTGAAGCTTATATCACTAAACTGCTCCAGGGCTGAGACTGGTAGGGCTCAGACTCAGTACCTTTCACACATCACAAAGCCCGCAGTTAAGCCTGGATGGCACAGAACAAGCCGGAAAAGTAGGAATCGCCCAGTGTTCTGCTCCCAATGTCTTTATTCCTGTCTCGAGTGGGGCTTCTGCATTCTCTAAGGATTCTAGTCCCCGGAATCCAATTCGTTCCAGGCTCCTCATTATACAGCACAAACTTTACTCTCATTCTTTTCACCCCACATTCTTAGGAACCCACACCGACTCCCAGCTGGTTGTGAGTGGCACGACACAGGTCCCTGTCCCCACTTCCCAGTCCCTACCTCCGCTTGTACTCGTCCCGCTCCCGCTTCACTTTGGCCAGCACGTTGTAGAGCGCGCGGATCTCGGGGGTGATGGTGTCGATCTGGACGCCCACCCCATCCGGGTGCACCCACGACAAGCCAGGTCCTTGCACCAGAGTGGGCTCCAGTCCCGGCCCGAGCCGGCGGGCGTGCGAGAAGGACCAGATGGTGCCGGGCATGAAGCGGGCCGATGAGGAATAGGCGGTGGAGGTGGAGGTAGAGGACGACGAGAGGCTGGCCGCGGAGGGGGCGAGGGGGCCGGCCGGCGAGCGCGCGGGCGAGCCCAGCACCCGCGCCGACGGACTGCAGACGGCGGCCGGCCGGGCGCCCAGCGGCAGCCCCAGGGGCCGGATGGGGCTGACGAAGCCGGTCTGCACGGCCTGGTCGCGGCGACCCAGGCCCCGCCGGCCCTGCTTACCCTCCTCCAGCGCTTGCTGCAACTGCTTCTCCAGCAGCCGGTTCCGACGCTCCAGCTCGTGCACCTTGGCCAGGAAGCAGCGGAACCGGAGGTTCAGGGTCTTGAGCACGTTGATGTTGGAGCCCAGGTCATTGCGGAGGGCCATGGCGGCAGGCGGGGCCGGGCCCGGCCCGGGTGGCGAGTAGGCAGCAGGGCCGGCAGGCGACAGAGGCGCCGGGGGCAAGTCTCCTCCCCCGGCGAAGTGGTCACCTCCCAGTGGGTCCCCCAGCGGCCCGGCCAGGCCCTGCTGCTCCTGCTGTAGGAGGAAGAGATTGGGGCCGAATAACGGATTCATGGCTGCGCCTTCTGCTGGGAGATGCAGACCGGTGCAGGAGCAGGGATGGAGGGCGAGCGAGAAGAGCCAATGCGGCGCCGGCGGTACAGGGCCGACCAATCAGGCGGCTCGGCGGCGGGGCAGAGGTCAGGAGGCGGGCCGAGGGGGAAGCCAATGACAGGCTCCAATTGGAGGCCGGACCCTGGACCTTTCCGGGTCTGAGGCCGAGCCCGGGGCTGAGGAGAGCCACCGCCGGGAATCCAGCCGGGGTGGCGTAAAGCCCAGGACCCCATGGGTTCTGGTGACAAGCCCATCTCCCCTACATTTCTTGTTTTTTGAGACCGAGTCTCACTCTGTCGCCCAGGCTGGAGTGCAGTGGCGTGATCTTGGCTCACTGCAATCTCTACCTCCTGAATTCGAGCAATTCTCATGCCTCAGCCTCTCGAGTAGCTGGGATTACAGGCACCCGCCACCACGCCTGGCTAATTTTTTGCATTTTGGGTTTCACCATGTTGGCCAGGCTCGTCTTGAACTCTGATCTCAAGTGATCCACCCACCTTGATCTCCCAAAGTGCTAGGATTGCAGGCGTGAGCCACCGTGCCGGGACTTCCCCTACACTTGTTGCCTTCTTCCCACAGTCCAAACTCCCCTAACTCTGACTCCAGGGCTCTCCTTTCCTGGGAAGACCCAAGGATGCAGGAGCCTAAAACTGACCTGACTTCTCAGTAGCACCCAACCATTCCCTCTCCTCAAAACCCCAGTCCCACCTTCCCATCTCTACCCTTAAAGCAGCAAAGGCAGTATTCAGTTCCCCCAAAAAATACTCAGTGGCCAGAGGTTGTAAAATGTGTATTAAATTTCATGGGCATACACAGTGCAAAAGGCTTCCTCACAGAGGCAAGAGTTCCAAACCGGTGACAAAGGCAGTGAGCCACCCCAGTCTAGTTTTCAACCATCTAAGACAGGAGCAGCTGGCTGTTGCCCCTGGACTGAGATTTCCTCCTCTTTGCTGGTGGGGGGCGGCTGGAACTGACAAGAGACACAGTGGGAGACTGAGGCCCCTTGGGGGAGCCATTCTGTTTCTGGAAGGCAGCTTTCTTGAAAGGCTGCTCTGGCAACTGCTGCTTCTCAACCCCCTTGGCCCTTCCAAAGGGCTGATGACGGTCCTTAGGCTTAAGGGTGGCCCGGGTCTTGGATGGGGATAGCACAGCCAGTGTTTCTGTGTCTGTGCCCTTGGGAGGGGCATTCTGCTTGAGGAAGGCAACTTTCTTGGAGGACTGTACTTTAGGTGATCGTTGCTTTAGCTTCCCTGTCACCTTTGGCTCCCTGATCCCTTTGGCTTTTCCAACTGGCTGACTGCTATCCTGGAGCCTGGAGGAAGCTTGGGTCTTTGTGACAGAAGGTATAGTGGACAGTTCTGAGTCTGCCCCTTTGGAGATGCCATTCAGCTTCTGGAAGGAGGTCTTCTTGGGATGTTGCTGTTTCTGCAGCTGCTGCCTTGCCTTTGCAGCCCTCTTGGCCTTCTTGGCTGGCTGGCTGCTATTCTCAGACTTGGGGATGACCTGAGGCAAGTCTACATTTGTAGGTGTGGCTGTTTCAGAATTTCCTGGGGTTAAAATTAAATAGATCATGTCAGAAAATGGGCCTGGTCACCATATTTTAATATTCTGATATTAAAATATGAGAATTGCCATCTCTTGGCCAGGAGTTCCACACAATTAGGTCAGTACCTAAGAGCAGATTACCTAAATTCCCATTACTTAGTAATTACTTAGTATCACTTCACCTCTACTCAAGTACTAGTTGAACCTTGTATTAAGAGATCACTGCCACTGGTCATTAGAGAAATGCAAATCAAAACCACGTCACGCCAGTTAGAATGGCAATCATTAAAAAATCAGGAGACAACAGATGCTGGAGAGGATGTGGAGAAATAGAAACACTTTTACACTGTTGGTGGGAGTGTAAATTAATTCAACCATTGTGGAAGACAGTATGGCGATTCTTCAAGGATCTAGAAATAGAAATATCATTTGACCTAGCAATCCCATTACTGGGTATATACCCAAAGGATTATAAATCATTCTGTTATAAAGACACAATGCACACATATGTTTATTGTGGCATTGTTCACAACAGCAAAGACTTGGAACCAACCCAAATGCCCATCAATGATAGACTGGATAAAGAAAATGTGGCACATATACACCATGGAATACTATACAGCCATAAAAAAGGATGAGTTCACATCCTTTGTGGAGACATGGATGAAACTGGAAACCACCATTATCAGCAGACTGACACAAGAACAGAAAACCAAACACCGCATGTTTTTACTCATGAGTGGGCATTGAACAATGAACAACACACAGACACAGGGAGGGGAATATCACACACTGGGGCCTAAAGGGTAGGGGGTTAGGAGAGGAATAGCAGGGGGTGAGGTATCAGGGAGGGATAGCATTAGGAGAAATACCTAATGTAGATGACAGGGTGATGGATGCAGCAAACGACCACCATGGCATGTGTATACCTATGTAATAAACCTGAACAATCTGCATGTGTACCCCAGAACTTAAAGTATAATCAAAAAGAACTTAAAAATAAATAAAAAGACAATCAACATGCACACATTAAATAAATATTTGTTGAACTTCTAATAAAAAAGAAAAGAGAGAGATCACTGCCTATAGGCAAGGCACGATGGTTCACACCTCCAATTCCAGCACTTTGGGAGGCCAAGGCAAGTGGCTTGCTTGAGGCCAGGATTCAAGACCCAGTCTAGCCAACATGGCGAAACCGTCTCTATTAAAATTATAAAAATTAGTCGGGCATGGTGGTACATACCTGTAATCCCACCTACTTGGGAGTCTGAGGCACAAGAATTGGTTGAACCTGGAAGGCGGAGGTTGCAGTGTGCTGAGACTGTACCACTGCATTCTAGCCTGGGTGACAGAGCAAGACTCAGTCTCAAAAAAAAAAAAAAAAGAGATCAAGAGATCACTGCCTATCCTTGAGCCAAAAGGTTATTTGTTTGTGCTCTTGTTGCCCAGGCTGAAGTGCAATGGCATGATCTTGGCTCAGCACAGTCTCTACCTCCCAGGTTCAAGTGATTCTCCTGCCTCAGACTCCAAGTAGCTGGGATTACAGGATTGCACCACCACTCCCAGCTAATTTTGTATTTTTAGTAGAGACAGGTTTCTCCATTTTGGTCAGGGAGGTCTTGAACTCCCGACCTCAGGTGATCTGCCCACCTTGGGCTCCCAAAGTGCTAGGATTACAGGCAGAGCTGGGGCCAAACTGGGCCAAAAGATTTTTACAGGAAGCTGCGCCCCCTTGAGAACATGAAGTAACAGAATGCTGTAAGGAAGAGATGAATCTCAGGGTTTGGTTTTTTATTTTTATTTTTTTTGAGGAGTCTTGCTCTGTCGCCCAGGCTGGAGGGCAGTGGTGTGACCTCGGCTCACTGCAACCTCTGCCTCCTGGGTTCAAGTGATTCTCCCACCTCAGCCTACTGAACAAGTATGTGCCACCACGGCTGGCTAATTTTTGTATTTTTAGTAAAGACAGGGTTTCACCATGTTGACCAGGCTGGTCTCAAACTCCTGACCTGAAGGGATCCACCTGCCTTAGCCTCACAAACTGCTAGAGTTACAGTTGTGAGCCACTGCGCCCAGCCTCACAGAGAATTCTGAACGAATCTGAAGCACTAGGCTTTATTTACTTACTTATTTTTTATTTTTATTTTTTGAGATGGGGTTTCACTCCTGTTGCCCAGGCTGGAGTGCAATGGTGCAATCTTGGCTCACCACAACCTCCGCCTCCCAGGTTCAAGCAATCCTCCTGCCTCAGCCTCCTGAGTAGCTGGGATTACAGGCATGCATCATCACACCTGGCTAATTTCGTATTTTTAGTAGATGGGGTTTTTCCATGTTGGTCAGGCTAGTCTCAAACTCCTGACCTCAGGTGATCCACCCACCTCAGCCTCCCAAAGTGCTAGGATTACAGGCATGAGCCACTGCACCCGGCCTAACTTACTTTTTAATTTACCTTTTTTTTTTTTTATTTAGTAGAGACAGAGTAGTTTTTTGTTTTGTTTTGTTTTTTGAGGCAGGGTATCACTGTGTTGCTTAGGCTGGGATGCAGTGGTGCCATCACAGCTCACTGCAACCTCAAATTCCTGGGGCTCAAGGGATCCTCCTGCCTCAGCCTCCAGAGTAACTGGAACTATAGACAAAGTCTCCCTATGTTGCCCAGACAGGTCTCGAATTCGTGGTCTTAAGTGATCCTACTGCCTCAGCCTCCCAAAGTACTGGGAATTACAGGCATGAGCCACTGCCATACCTAGCCTATTTATTTTTTAAATCAGAGAAGTTTTTTCCATGTAGATTGTGATGAAGTGCAGGATAATTAGAAAGGATACCCACAACCACCAGAGACAAGCTAGGAAAACATCAACAAGGACTAACATTTTCTGTACTTTTTAAGTTATAGCAAATTTTATTTTCTCTTTTCTTTTTTTGAGACACAGGCTGGAATGCAATAGCGGGATCTCACTCCAACCTCCACCTCCCAGGTTCAAGCAATTCTCCTGCCTTAGCCTCCCGAGTATCTGGGACTACAGGCACAGGTCACCATGCCCGGCTGATTCTTGTATTTTTAGTAGAGACAGGGTTTCACCATGTCAAACTCCTGACCTCAGGTGATCTCCCTGCCTTGGCCGCCCAAAGTGCTGGGATTCCAGGCATGAGCCATCACGCCCAGACAAATTCTACTGTTTATGAAGTATCTTTTCTCTCCCTCTTCCAACTAAACCCAGATATATCCCAGTAAGCAGCACTCTTTTTATTTTTTGGTTTGTTTTTTTTTTTTTTTTGAGACAGAGTCTCACTCTGTCACCAGGCACCAGGCTGGAGTGCAGTGGCACAATCTCAGCTCACTGCAACCTCCGCCTCCCAGGTTCAAGCAATTCTCCTGCCTTAGCCTCCTGAATAGCTGGAACTACAGGCATGTGCCACCACGCCCAGCTAATTTTTGTATTTTTTAGTAGAGACGGGGTTTCACCATGTTGACCTGGATGGTCTCGATT